GAGACTGTGGCATAGTGGCAGAGGACCTGCCTGGCAAGTAGAATGCCCCAGCAAACCCTAGCAAAGAGTGACAGGAAGCTAATGCCTGGAGGGACCTTGTTGAGCCTGAGACTTGGGAGAGTGGCCAATTCTGGAGACCTGCTACCAGTTCAAGGAGATAATATTTGAACTAGATGGACCAGAGGTCTGTTGTAGTACTACTACAGATGTCAGGCTTAATCCCTTTCCTGTAGACTTTATACAATCAGGGGCTTTGTTATATACCAAAAACCATTGGCCTTGGTGAGGATTACTATATTTATACATTTTAGTCTGATTTAAAATACAGCTGCCGACCGTAAGACCTAAGAAAAAAGTGAGATCTAAAATTGATATAAGCTAATAAATAGATGCACAGTGATGTTATAGGATTGATTGGAAACTCAGCTGCATAAGGCAGTTAACCAGCAACCAGGTGTTTCATCACATTTAAGAAACGGTTAACATTTACAACTCTTTAATCAAGCAGCATCTTATGAGATTAGTCCTGAGTGTCCTCAGCTCCCTATAAAAGCTTGTCAAAGTTAAAAACCTCAGTATCTTGCAAGAAAGACTCAGAGTGTTGCAGGATGGGACCCTTAACTTTGTAATTAGAAGGAACTATCTGATGCTAAATTATGACAGCAGATCACCCTCATCCAGACTGGAAAAATGGTATTCAGGACTTAATTAGACAGCTGTTCTGCAGGATTTCAAATTCTCATATTAAAAAAAAATTGCAGCATCTTAAGAAGTCTGATTTATCCAGCAATAGAAGAATCTTCTCCTCTGAGACTCATGCTATAGAAAGGCTTTGAAGGAAAAGGAAGCAGGATTTAAAACTCTTGTTAGAACACTGGAGTTCTGGAGAAACTGGAATGCCACCACTGTTTTGGATGGCTCCTTGGCTAGGAAAAGCAGGGATGTATCTTTTTCAGACATAATTTAAAAGAGTTGAAGAGAGACCTGGGATCAAGTATCTCACTTTAAAAAGACAGGTTGCTTACCTGTAACTGATGATCTTCGAGTGGTCATCTGCGCATTCACACCTCTGGGATATAGTGTGCCTGTGCCGACCTCGATTGGTATGTCTTACAAAGCAAAAGGGATTTTCATTCCCGCTCCCCAGTCACGCGCCAGCCCCACTGCGCATGACTAGGGGAGGGGCACAACAATCCCGCCAGTTCCTTCTGACCGCTGCCATCAGTCGCAGAGCAAAGAACAATAGGACTGAAAGCAGAGGGGAAGGAGGGCGGGTGGTGTGAATGCACAGATGACCACTCAAAGATCATAAATTACAGGTAAGCAACCTGTCTATCTTCTTTGTGGTCTCTGTGCATCACACCTCTGGGAGATTAACAAACAAAAACAAGCCTATCTGGAGGAGGAAGCTGAAGGTCCTAGACTTGCACCACCTGTAACACTGCCCGTCCCACCACAGAACGCTGATGAAGACGCACATCCAAGGCATAATGCTTCACAAACTTGTGAGGAGTAGCCCAGGTTGCTGCACAACAGATGTCACTGAGCGATGATCCTCTCAGGAAGGCTGTATATGTAGCTACTGCCCAGATGGAATGTGCTCAGAGCAGACCTGGAAGTGGCCTTTTGGCCAGCAGGTAGCACAGTTTAATCGTTTCCACAATCCATATGGATAGACACTGCGAAGAGAGCTTCTCCCCTTGCACAGGTGTGTTATAGGAGACAAACAAGGCTGGTGACTGCTGGAAAGGCCTCATCCTATCTAGGTAGAACAGTAGGGCTCTCTTTACGTCCAATGTGTGAAGATGACGTTCCTCGTCACTCACAGGGGACAGAAAGAACACTAGAAGAACAATGTAAGCTTGCAAATAGAACTCGGAAACAACTTTGGGCAGGAAAGAGACATCCGAGGCCAAGGTGACACCATCATGGTGAAAAATTAAGTACGGTGAATCACAACGGACTGCAGACAACTCACTCACTCATTTTGCTGAGGTAATAGCTACCAGAAAGGCAGTCTTCCACAAGAGAAAATGCAGACTAGATATGGCCATGGGCTCAAATGGTCTGCCCATCAGCTTGGACAGCACCAGAGGTAAGTCCCAGGAGAGGGTATGGCCACAAGCCAGAGGCGAGCAAGGCCCTTCAGAAACTGCTTCATTTGAGGGTGAGAAAAAACGGAATAGCCATCCACCGTAAGATGATTAGCGGAGATGGCGGCCAGGTGCACCTTCAATGAGGAACAACTAAGACCCAAATCTAAGCAGGACAACAGGAATCCATAAACCGCAATCAAGTTTGTAGGAGGCGGAGGTAAACCCAACGACTCAAGATAAGTTAAAAATTTCTTCCATTTCCCATCATAGGAAGCATGCGTAGCCGGTTTGCGACAGTTCAACAGAACATGATCTATCTTGCTTTTAAGCTGTGCTAAAGGATCCTCCACGGTGTGAGTTTGAGGTGTGGTACATCATGGTGGAGCACCTGGCCCCCCTGAGCCAGGAGGAGATCTGGTGCTGGAGGGAAGTGGACAAAGGTGCCCTGTGACATGTGGAGTAGAGTCGGGAACCAATGCTGACGTGGCCACCATGGAAACTGGAAAAAAAGGGGGGGGGACTCAACCCAGGATATGACTACGAACCAAAAAGGGCTAAGCTAAACCATATATATAAAAGTACAAATATTTATTAAGGTGTACACATGTTAAAACTTTCCTGATTTAAAAATTACTTTGTCTAAGATCAGACTATAAAAGCTTATCCACTATACATACATATGATACTTTATGTATATATAGTGGACTAGCAGTAAAGCCCGTTGTGGAAATAAATACAACGGGATCTAGAAAGAGGCTCTGGGGGAGTGCTCTGGCTTTGGGCAAACAGTGTCATTTTGCTGTGGTGACCTCAGCAGGTATAATGACAGAGTCCACTGTTTTCTCCAGAGGAACTGATCTCTGGTCCCTGAAGAGCAGTTGTAATTTTGAGTGATCTGTAGCCCTCACCTGGAAATTGGCAACAATTGTTACCCAGGACGAAATGGCTGGTTTGGAGGGTGGAGTCTATGGCATTCTACCTGTCTGATGTCCCACCCCTCCGCAAACCCCACCCTCTCCAGGCTCCACCCCTCAAATCCCCAGGAATTTGCCAGCCTGGAGTTGGCAACCCCATCTCCTTCGCAGCTAACCATCAACCTACCATTATCTGCCCCTTTGACTTCAGCTGACTTCCGCCCTCCCTTCTGCAGAGCAATTGTAATTTTGAGTGGTCTCCAGCCCTCACCTGGAGATTGGCAACAATGGTTCCCCATGAGGGACTGAGTGGTTTGGAGGGTGGAGTCTATGGCATTGTACCTGTCTGAGGTCCCACCCCTCCTCAAACCTCACCCTCTTCAGGCTCCATCCCTCAAATCTCCAGGAATTTCCCATCGGGAGTTGGCAACCCTATCAGGATTGGCCCCAATATGTTTTCTCCCAAAGGCCAAAGTAGGTGACTGGACCAAACCTCATTGCCTACCAACAGGCACTGAGGGGAAAGTAGGGTTGCCAGCTATAAGGAGGGAAATACCTGGAGTTTTGGGGGGTGGATTCTGTAGAGGGCAGCATTGGGGAGGGGCGGAAGGACTCAGCAGGTATAATGTCATAGGGTCTACCCTCCAAAGCAGCCATTTTCTCCAGGGGAAACTGATCTCTGTCATCGGGAGATCAATTGTAGCAGTGGGAGATCTCCAAGTCCCACCTGGAGATTGGCAACCCTAGGGGAAAGTCAAATTTCATGCAAAATTATTCTGGTTGGGGCAAGCTAGATGAAAACATATTACGTGGCACAAGTTGTCTATTATTTCTCTTCGGGCACAATTTTCTATTCATGAAGTGGCACCTCCAGAGTTTTACTCATTCTCAACATCTACTGTGATGGATCCAGCACAAAGTTTTTGATTGTATTAGAGCTCTTAAGGAAGCAGAAACATAAGGAAAAGACCATGGTAGCCACTTGTGCTAATTTATTTACTGTATCCTCACTTGCACTTTTGCTGGCACAAAATACCGTATAACCAATTTCTGGGCACTATAAAATATAGGGAAGAAAGTGCTATGTGTTGCACAAGATCTTGTGGAAATGGAACAAAGTCTGTTTATGTTTCTGTGTGTGAATCACTGGATCCAAGAGTTCGTCATGATACTAGGCCAACACACAATTCTCACTGTGCAAATACATTGAATGCTAGAACTGGAGCAATCAATTTGGGACTGAGATCCATTTTCAGGTAAATATGTGAGAAGTCTTCTTTTCATTCAACAATCAACCTATCTTAAAATATTTTTTTCCCTTTGCAACTACAAATCTCAACTTTAAAAGTCAAATCTGCACACATATGGGAAACATGCTGCAGCAAGTCACATCATCTGCTTCACAATTAGCTATGCGCTTATCAAGGATAATGCAGAGGCCACTGGGGAAAGTTCTGGTGGGCTGATGGACTGGGGGCCCTTTACATGACAAGACTCACCTTGCTTACTCTAGGCTGCCCTTGCACAAGATGAATCTGGTCTCACTCAGGCTGGCCACCATTGAGACCAGTCTGGCCTTACCCAGGCCAGCTCCATGCAAGATGAGAGATTCCTCACCTCACCTGAGACTGTCCCATAGTCAGCCTTTCTCCTTGGGGGGTGGGGCCATGGAGGGTGTGTGGTCCTTTCCCTCTCAGCCATTTTGCTTTCCCAATCCACCCCTGGTAGAATGAAAAAGTGTTACACATCTCTATCCTTATGCTTGGGAAGGGTTCAGTTAAGATGATGGCTCCTTAACAGCATAGCAAACAGCATTAATCTTGTACCATACCATGATCATCACTGTACAACATCAGATATATTGTCACAAAGAAATGCAACTGTTATACATTTGGAGTACTTATGACAACTCACAAAATGTTGGGGGTGAATCGTCCATTATTTGACAAATAAATGGAATAAGTATGCCTAAGAACATTAATTTACTTACATCTCTTCTGGGGAAAGTCCCTAGGAGCTTGAATTCTTCCCATGGATATCCCTTGGAAGCTACAAAATCAAAGACGACCTGCAGTTTGCTGTTGGCTAGGAAACGTCGCTCAAAGAACTCTCCACTGGGTGTCCGGATGCGCAGCTTACTGACTGATTCAGTGTTCTCCTCTTTTGGCTCTGGAGGCAAAGACTGTTCTAAGGATAGCCGAATAGCCTGAAGAGGGGGGAAAATGAGTTTCATCAGCTGTGAATCAATAGGGTACACTTTTTTTTGCTTTATTCCAGTATTGTGTAATTAAAAATGACATATTTGCAGATTACCATCTGATTCATTTTAAGTTGCTGTCTCAGCTTCTGTAGTCAGAAAGGCATTCTCTCCAAGGCTTTTGAACCTCCAGTAGTCTGAACTCATGTCAAGGGAAGGAATGGCAACCTCTTGTTAATAATGGCTGGATCTATATCTTGTAGCAGCCTCTGAGCATTTAGGTTGTAGCAGACATTCTTATACAAGTGCTTGGGTTTAAAGGACGGAGAAGGACTTCTGTAGCTTAGGACATACTGGACCCCATCTCCCTGGCAATAGTGCTGTGAGGCTACCAGACTGGACTGCAGGGTCCTTGCTTCCCTGCTCCCACAAGAAGAAACCTCATAGATATAACTGAGAGATACAGGGTTGGATCAACTGGTGGATTTCTGCTGATGGAAGAGTGGGGTGATTTTTGTTAATTTCTCCCTCCCAGTGCACACTAACTCCCCCTTCATGCTGTTCCTGTGGGTCTCTTGTCCTCAGGAGCAGCAGTTTGGCAGTTCAACAACCAGGAATACACAGATACTCCATGTCACTTGGAAGGCCCCAGTTCAGTACTCAGGTGTATATTCCAAAGTGCAAACCCCAAATTCAATCCCTGGCATCTCCAGTTGAAGGGTTTCATACAGCAAATTTGGGACAAGCCTCAGCTGAAGACCCAGAGAACCACTGCCAGTCAGAGTAGATAGTACTGGGCAAGACAGACTAAAGATCTGAGTCAGTGAAGCAGAACCAGGTGGGACTGATGGATCGTAACATTTCAGTCTATAGATGGGGGATATAATTTCTCTACTACCTAAAAGAGCCCTCACAAAAAAGGGGAAACACCCCCCCCGCATGTCAGGGGGGGAAAAGATTCTTGTCCTAGTGACACTCACTCTGTGGCTCACAGAGAGCAACAGTCAAAATTACTGTCAACCAAACCAGCCACATGACTACTGAATGCTGTGTGCCACCACACTAAACACATAATAAGGTAATATAATATTAATATTAGCCATTAAACTATAACTGTAACCATTTTAATGATCAGCATACCTCTGTGCATGTGGGGCTGTCTGTGTACACCAGTGCTGACCCTTAGCCAGCCCTTGTGTATCTGGAGTGAGGGGAAGGGCTTCTCTCTTGGCTTTCTGCTCCCTCAGTGTGCTGATCAGGCAAGCAAGTAAGAATGCTGAGAGAATGAGATTGCCAAGGCATTCAGAGGAGGGCAGGCTGGCCACGGAGAAAGGGGAATAAAGCCACTACTACCACCCCAACGTGGGCAGCCTATTCTTTTTCTGGTAGCTGTGATGGTTGTGGTGGTGGTTTTGCAGCTTTCTCTTCTCTTTGTAGCTGCCCAGGTGCTGGGACGAGAATGCAGAGGCTGTGGAGAAGGGTGGGGGTTAATGGACTAGACTGAGCCCTTTACTTCCATCCAAGGCACAAGGCCCTCACCTCAAGGAAGGTAGCAGTTGACCTGACCTACAGTCTCTCTAGGAGAAGCTGTTCCAAAGTGCAAACCATCTGTCAACCACAAGCCTCACTGAGAGCCTTGCCCAACTTTCCTGGAACATGGGGCAGGTGCCATATTGGGGAAAATGTTCAGAAGAGCTACAGGTAGCTCCCAAGTCACCGAGTATCACTGTTCTAGTGAAACCCTTTCACCTCTTGTGCTGGTTTTCTATTTGCAAGGAGGTTTTTAACAAAAGGTATAATGAAAAATATGACCACCCCCCTGCAGTCTTTCAGCTTTCTACCTTATTCTGTCCCCTTCTGGGGCAGGATTTTGCTTACTGTCTCACCTGTCCTCCTGTTTCTGGAGGAGGAAGTTCTTTTCCTCATGACAGTTCTATGGTTTTTATCTCAATGACACATCCATCTTCATTCATTTCTTAATAACTGCCCACAAAACAACTAATTAAAATAAATCCTCCTCTTATAGTACATTATTAAACCTATAGTTTACTGCATAGTGGTGATAGGTAATTTAATTGTTGAACAGAAAGGGCTTAAGAAAATTTGATTGAGGGAATAATTGTCAAGTGCCAAATTGCTTTTTAATGCATAAAATCAAAACCATTAAATATTTACACAAATAAATTAATTTATGAAAAACCTGTAACCTCCTCCTAGGCAAAATTCTTGACCATTACTAAAAAAACCCAGAGCAGATAAGAAAGACAGACATCTGTATTTGACTTGAAACTTGCATTAAAATGATTTGAACTAATACACCTCATCCAGATTCTGTGTATATTTCTATGGCTGTTTCCACACAAGGATCTTTACTCAGATGGAACATGCCCCCACTTTACTGAGAAGCTTATACATGACGCCATGCTCTTTTCAAGCATGACTTTTGGGGCTCCCAGGGTTTTCTCTTTTAAGCTATAACCTTTTGCTCTGACTTTAAAAGAAAATGGCAAGCCAGCTGCAGGCTGAAGGGGGAAGAGCTTGGTGCCACTTTCAAAATGGTGGCACTATGCTCCAGCTTTCCCCTCCTTTCTGTGGGCTTTTGTGCCTTTAACAAGTGAACTGTGGCTCAACTGCTGGGGAAAAGGAGGATTTCCGGGGGGGGGGGCAGTGGCAAGATTCTTCACACTGGAGCTTTTGCACCAACATGATGAGGAAGAAGGGGGTGGGGAGAGGTGGCACCAATAGCAAACTGTGAGGGGATGGGGAATGTGGACTTTAGTCCCATGAGCCTCTATCCTGCTTGCTGCTGTTTATGCACTTGGGGTAGCTTTTCTCACCCCATGTGGAACCAGCCTATGTATTCTTTGGCCCCGGTCACACGGAAGGTTTGGCCCGGGAGAGGGACGGATCAGGGGCGCAGCAAACAGGCGCGATCTCACCGCAACATCTGGGAAGCGGTGCGCACCCGTCCCCGATCCGTCCCTAAAGCCAGAAAACCTGCTGCAAAAAAGAACCACCTACAGAGGAGGACTTACCTGGAATGCCACATCAAGCACGGCCGTGGGATCGCCGGCGCGCCCATTGTCCGGAGCAATGCAGGCTCCCAGCTGAACTGTGCATGTGCACACATGCGCAATTCGGCTGCCGTGCTCTTCCTTCAGTGGCTGCCCCCCCCCGGCATCTGATCGTGCCGGGGAGGCACTGCGCGGCGGCTCAGGAGATCTATGTGATCCCGCTGCCACGTGTCTCTTTTGGTGTGGCTTTCAAAAGCCGCACTTTGCCCATGCTTCCCCCCACCCCCCATGTGGCAGGGGCTTTTGTATACCTTCATAGGGGTTGGCTGGAAATCAAATAGCATTTTAAATAGAATCTATGATATTAAAACCATTTTTGATGCCTACCAGAGCATTTGAATGTATTGTTCTCTGCTATATAAGTAAGATATAATATTTCAAGTTTTAGGTTATGATACTATACATGCCTATAAGAAGGATATTCCTACCAAAGTCAGTGGGGCTTATTTCCATGGTATGACTACCATCCAGAATTCCACATTGTACTGACTTTCTGACTGAGCAATACCACGCTACAAACTGTGTTTTTAACTACTGTATTACAAATTCATGCCAGAGGGTTCACTCATTTACAGCCAACAAAGAGATGCAGTTATATCTAAATATCACTGAAATTTCTTATGTTTATGCAGAAGCCATTGATTTTAGCGGCTTACTCCCAGTTAAGTTTTCTCAGGACATACAGTTACATCAGCTGAGCCATAAAATTCCACTTATTTTAACAGGCCTTAGGTATGCTTAAATGTCTATGGATTCTGGTTTGTTTAGGAGTAAGATGATGAAGAGTTAAAAAATATTTTGGAGAAAGAAGAGTCAAAGTCACAAAAGTAGTCAAAAAGATCAACAGAACAAAGCAAGAATCCAGCTGAAGGCCCAACAGTCAGGGACTCCTTTAGACGATGTGCAGGCCTACCCCAGAGAGGTTTTCGGAGCTCAAAAAATGCCTGAGGGTGCTCTGTCCCCCTCTCCCATGCTGTTCCTGCTTTTTTGCAGTGTGGTATAGAGGAGTTGGAGTGCTCTTTCCACAGGTCCTCTTTGCCACCAGAGAGAGGTGAGATTGTCAGGTTTATTTTAAAAGCTCACAGCCAGGATATGTGACTGCACAGGTGACTACTTGATGAACAACAGTTACAGGTAAGTGAAACCCTGTTTTCATCCTTGTGGTACCCGTGCAGTTTCATATGGGAGAGTAGCAGGCTGACTTCCCAGTTTCAGGAAGGTGGGTGTGAGCTCTCAATTGACTAGAGGTTGCAAGTCTGTTCTTCCCACTGCCATAACTCTATATCCACGGAGTAGTGCTTTATGAAGGTGTATAAAGATGATCATGTTGTAGCCTCACATATGGAGTCATATTTTTATTTACAGAAACTTGTTTAGGCCTCTCGGGTCCAGGACAGGTCTCACCTCACCTTCTTTTTGACCAGAAAGTATCTGAAGTAGAACCCTGAGTGCTGATCTTTTAGAGGCACTATCACAATTGCCTTTTTGTTGAGGAGGGTGTTGACTTCTGCAAGGAGTTCTGGAGAGGGGACTGGAGGGTTGTATAACAGTGGTGAGTGGATTGGAAGAGAAGCAAATGCTATCATGTATGCTTTTGTCATGGTGCTGAGTACCCATTGGTCTTGGAAGGTGTCTTGCCAAGTGAGTTGTCAGGGGTTTAGTTCCACTGCTGAATGACATACTGGGCATGAGATGTAGTTTCAAAAGCCCTGCCTAGTGGGCTGGTTGGGTTTTGGGCAACTAGGATCTGGCCCTGACCCTGGGATCTTGCCCCTCAGATTTTTCTCTGCCGGGCAGGAGGCTCAATAGCAGACATATAGGGGGGCTTGTTGTAATACAAAGGGGGAAGCATGGGAGCACCTCTCCCTCAGAATGCAGAGTAGTAAGGATTGCAATAGGGACTATGTTTCATAGCCAAAGGCATGCTTCCAAAGC